CCTGGTTGAAATGCGAATCTGTCGTTCGGGTGCTCGTGTATCTCATACGACTTAAGTACGTGATCAATATCTTTAATTGCGTCATTAGTGTCTGGTACATACTGCGTAATTTTCGTTCGTCCGGGGCATAATCGTCGAGTAGTTTTCGAATGCTGTGTAGGCTTGACACCTTCCGTTTTTTGTGAACATTTTTTCGTATGCAAATATAAAGTACGCATATGTTCCATTAGATCTACATCAACTTGATTATCCGTATCCACATCACATTTACTGTTATCCAGCGTTTCCATGGCGAGCAGGTGATGTGGTGTAATTTCTTTTAATTTTAAAACAGCGGGAGCAGACTGAGCTCTATGCGTTTCTACACTGACATTGGATAATCTGCGTTCAATTCTTACCGATGATGCTAGTCTTAAAACCGGAGACGAATTCTTGAGTTGTTTCGAAGACTTGCATTTGTAGTCTCCGTTCGATGAGAACACAAAGCCAGGAACAACGGTGCTGTAGTCTAGTTTGACGTCACTATTGTCCCGTACTGGAGGTTGCTTCAGTTTCCGGGACAACAATTTCATAAAATGCTGTTCCCCGCTGATTTTCGAAAAACTCTTGGTTCGCTGTATCTCCAATTGCGACAGGCGCAGTCGGAGTTTTCTCTCTTCTATGGCGTTCTTCGGACATTCGTTAATGACATTGCCGTTTTGGAGTCTGGGAAGCTGGCATCCACTTTTACTCGTCCACGATGTCATAACACTGAAAATGAAAAGCAATAATTATGACATTACACCTTAACGAGAGACAAATACATTTATTTTTATGTTTTTTTTTTCCTTCCAAGATGCCGACTATGAACGTGAAAATACTGCCACACATCAGAGCACCCCTGTGGAGGGACTGTGATCAGAGCATGCGCAAGGCCATGAAGTTCTGTCATATTATTTTGAATTGTGGCGGTTCAAGCATTCAGAACTCAAACTACCCAATGTAAATATCAACCACTTCCCTTCACAATGCCGTGCGTTTTATGTGGATCCACGCTATCAATAAAAACGATCATGTTTTGTAATAGGATATTAATCTTACCCTATGGGCTACATCTTACGTCGCGGTCGCGTCGTGGAGCTTCGGCATAGCGCGTACGCACGCAACTTGGCGACGCGCGTGAACAAAAGCAGCGGCCTTGGATGATAATTTGTGTTTATGTGATACTTTTGGTGTCAAATCTGCTCGGATTTGTGTTTCAATCTCTCTTTTTCTCTTGCATGTAATAGCTATATTGTTTCGAAGTTCAATCACGTAAGTGTAATAATTTTTTGTCGAACACTACTTTCAAATCGCAACAAGCAAGCGATGTTGTACAGTCGTATAAATTTCTCGTCTTTGACGTTTCGGAAACTTTACATCTAAACAAAAAAAACACCCTAACTTACAGCATCACGCATGTTATTATTCGCTACAAACATTACTTACCGGCTGTTGCATCATTGTGCGACCCCCACGTTCGTCTACAACGGAAATTGTGTATCGTGTCAAACGCGAGAGGACAAGTCGCGATCGGCAAATTGATCCTCGTGCAACAATATTTTTTGAACGTTACATAACTCAGTGTGTTTCTTTCACAATATAACGCATGTTTTGGTCAGTTTTAATTATCATAATAAGTTTACTATTATATAAAAACGCGCATAATTGTCAAATATTGCTAAATATTTATGCAAATTTACATTTGGGAAATGTGATCTCGAACGAGCCACGATACCGCCAACGATGTTCACGTTCTTTTGGAACAGTTACCAATCGCGAGCACACTGAATATTCGATTTTAGATTGCTTTCAATGTGAAGTCTATACGCGAATACACGACAAGACTACACGCAAGCAATTTTGCCAAATCTGTATAAACACAGAAAAAAATCATCATGATATTAATTTTATCGCAGTCGTGAGCATGATTTTACGATCGTACCAGTTTAGCGAGTTGATACCCTTTTTAGACCCGCTTCTAGACGCGTACGCAAATCGGACGGGGGAATCCTTAAGATGACGTCATAACTGAGGTATTTTCCCATATGTGGCATATAATGTGAAATCGCGAGGAAGAAGTAATTTACTACTCAAGTTTTTGTTTGACCCAGAAAGTTTTGCCTATATTTATTTTTAATTCTTTTTTACTTGTAGTTTGTGATTTTGTTCTGTTATTTGATGTTCACACCAGTCAGCGCCTGCTTTTAAGAGGGTCGGCAAGGGGTGTTTTCGTAAGATGTAATCAATTGTTTTAATTTTCGTAATAATGTACTAGTAATTTAAATAAATAAAAAACGTAGACATGGGCAAGGTTTAAAATGTAATCAACCGACCGTAATTTGTACAAAGACCTTGTTTTTTAAGCGTATAACATCGTTTTCCAAATTAAATGTCGTAATTTGTACGCAATTTCCAATTTTGATTCTTAAACACAAATTATCAAATATATTATAAAAATGTAAAATATAATTAGGAATTTGCTTATCTGTAAAGTGTAAGAACCTATTTATTACTTTAAATGAAACTTTCATTTTTTTTCCTGTAAAAATGTAAATTGCCGTTTTTATTTCCTGTAACCTGTACCAGCTTGGCTTCCGGAGAAAAAAAAAAAACACAGTACAAAACTTGCTTTGACGGGTTTGGTGTCGGACATAGCTGACAAACTGGACCTTGGGTCATATAAACTTTAGTATTTTTATCGATCTCAAAAAGGTATTCGACACTTAACTCTGAAAATCTGTGCTGTAAACTAGAACACTGTTAGAATTAGGTATTAGAAGTCTTCTTTTACTTTGGTTCAAAAACTACCTTTGTAATCGCTAACAATATTGTATATATTGAAAACATTTCATCATTGCCCGACCTCTATAATCTGCGGTGTTCCGCAAGGGTCGATTTTATTTCTAATCTTATTTTGAATCCATATATTAATAATATTGTCATGGGGGCAATTCGTCTCTATACACGTCTGCTTGAGGTACCAGACCGGGAAAGTCCCTTAAGCATTACAGTCAAATAGACGCACACAACGGAATACGTTTCAATAGCTAGTCTTTAGCCACATCGAGAACGCCTCAAGGCAAACTGCCTCGTCGGAGACTCTGCCCCGGACTGACTCGTCGGAGACTCTGCCCAGGACTGACTCGTCGGAGACTCTGCCCCGGACTGACTCGTCGGAGACTCTGCCCCGGACTGACTCGTCGGAGACTCTGCCCAGGACTGACTCGTCGGAGACTCTGCCCAGGACTGACTCGTCGGAGACTCTGCCCAGGACTGACTCGTCGGAGACTCTGCCCAGGACTGACTCGTCGGAGACTCTGCCCAGGACTGACTCGTCGGAGACTCTGCCCAGGACTGACTCGTCGGAGACTCTGCCCAGGACTGACAAGACTCTCTCGCCTCGTGAAGCTCTCTCTTGGACCAAGGACTTAGACCGTTTATTACGTATCAAAACTTAACCAATTACAAAGAAGTTTAAAGACATAAGGCGTAACCTTCACACATTCAATTTGCACATAGCCAATCAAACTAAGTACTGAACACGTCATATCTTTTGATTAATCGTCCGCTATATTAATAACTGCAAATACCAAACTGTCAGAAATAGTAGTCCGGATGGTGACGGTTATATCGTAATTAGTTCCAAATCACTCAGTCAAGTTCCGTCCAGGACCTCGCATGAGCCTAAATGATGACAGATACAACACAGCCATTCACTAGTAATCAGCTAACAAAGTCGGTCAACAGATACGCGAAAACTAATTCATGACAATATAGCCAATTCTACAAATTTTTTCCATTTTCGACTCTTTGCGGATGATACTTACCTATTTAAATTTATTCAAAACAATAAAATAAATCTTTCAGAAATTGATAATGACTTGCAAACGGTTCGTGAATGAATGGTGCAGTGCTAACAAACATACTGAAAACATGATAACACCACAACTGTCGGTCACTACTGAGGGCAGCCTGGATATTAACGGGTCACCGATAGAGGGCGTATGTGCCGTCAATTACCTTGGCGTCTTTATTGACCAGAATACGTCATGGAAAACCACATTGATATATTGCACCAAAAATCGGATTGATTTCAGAACTACGTCATTTTGTACCTACGCACATCTTTATTCTTTTATACAACACCTTAATTATTTACATATTCACATTGCCTAGAAATCTTTGGTAATAGAACTCTACTTAATATATTTCTTACAGAAAAAAATAGTACGCGTCATCACTTTCTTTCGTATTCCCATGCTGCTCTTAAAAACAAAGAATACTAGAATTTTTTTCCACTCTTACAATAAATTACAAAATTGTTTATTCGTTTAAACTATTTTGTACATGATTTTTACAACTATTTGATATATACATTATTTTCTTATTATTCTGATATTGATAGACTAGTTTAACATTGCAACATGCCATAACATAACAGTTTGTATCTACATAACATAAAACTTAAATAGCAACACTGAAATTATACAAAAAATTCTATTCAGCCAATATTTTTTGATTGGCGTTTCTCGGCTGTTACAATCATTGTTTAAATGTCAAACAATTTAAAGGTTTAAAGGTAAAAGCATAATATAACTCTAAAGACTTTTTTCGTATTAACCGCACATAATATTGTAATAGTAATTTGATGGCGCAATTTTAAGGTTGATACAGTTTCATGAAAGTGTTAGGAAATTGTTCACACTTTGTGAATAGATTGATTTTTGCTATATAAAACAAATGGAGCTACGAACCAAATTACTTTCACCCAGACTACAAAGTTAATACATAATTTTACGTTATAATAGTATGCAGGTACTGGAATAATGATTAATAATGGAAAAATTATCTCATCCAAAAATGTAATCACAAAATATACAAATATAGACAAATATATATTAGTATTATACTATTTTTTGGAAGATTTACGCATGGCATAACACAATCAAATTAATTACCCGATCTCCCTATTGTATTTTGTTAATTGGGGTTGAGGGTTCACAAGTTAGGTTAATTTCTTTAAAAAAAAAATATACAGCAGGTATATGAAACATCTAATCCAAATTCTGAATAAAAATAGGAGTTGTGATTTGATAATACAGTAATTCCATGTCCATTTCACAATGTGCATATTTTATTCATACGCCAGCAATTCCCCAGCAGTAGCTATTCAAACTCATGATGAGACAAACATTATATTTTAGCAAATTAAATCTCGATTCAACTGCTGCTCATGGGTAAGAGTTGTTTTCATTACAAATTAACTATATCCTCCTTTTAGATTTGTCAAGTTCATCGTCATCCCATGGGTCCGGTCTTTCAGCCTGTACAGCGGTTAATGGGGCTCTTTCATTGTTGGAATAATCCCATGTCATTGATATGTTGTCATAAACTTGCCGTTTTTTACGATATCCACGCACGAGTACAGCTACGAATAAAGTGACCACTGCGACTCCTACAAATGCAGCCAACGTCACAACCACTATAGACACGTTGCCAATTCCATCAGATCCAGAGGGAATGTCTTCATTTTCATCAAACTCTGGCAGATCAGGAGCATGAGGATCAAGTTGAATATCAGCATCGCTATAATTGTATGGCAGTGACTGTGGATGGCATACTGGAGGAGAACAAGGAAGAAACGTGTATGCCAGCTGGAGGTATATTTCTTCTACTCCTCTAGTATCAACACCTGGGTTATATTTTGATGAGATGCTTATAGCCCATGGTCCAATGGGACTAAGGGATGAAAAAGCATCAGACTTCCCCAAGTTGAATTCTGTGTTTTCAATGTAGTAGCTAAGATGATTGGATGAAACACTACTGTGTGAGTATGCAGCAAGTTCGTCAATGTTATAGCTGAAAAGCATTGTTCGTGGCGCGTGCGTAAAAGTCCAGCGATCACCATCCTGATCATATACAGTAGAGGTACCATATCGTTTTAACCAAACTATTAGGCTGTTCTTATCGATTTTGACACCCGGCACCCAAACACGCACATCCAGAATCTGTACATTCGTGAGAGGGGCCAGTTGGTCTTCCTCACCCGTAATACTGAACATTAGCAAACCAGTCTGGTCAAGCTCATGGAAACCTTTAGGGTTATCTTCACGCTTTAGGATCAGGCTATTGGTCATTGGAGGGGAGTTCAGGTTAAATGTCTGCATTTCACTTCCCATCATCTCAATCCTATCCATCATGTGCATTCGATTATTTGCTACCCATGCTTCTATCATTGCTATTCGGGAATCATCATAACGAAAGACGCGGTTGTCTAGGAATTGGTAATTGTAGGCTTCTTGTAATCGCTTCATCTGGTTCACAATGGAGTCTTTCAGATCTATATACACACGACTTACAGCGATGGCGTAGGATAAAGTATTTGGGTCAAACTCTTTGCTTTCCTGGCTTCTCAAGTGTGTTTCCTCTGATTCTAGAACCACAATCTGAGCTTCTAGTGCGGCTATACGAAGAACGATGGAATCGTGATGAAGAATCTTGTCGTTTACAGACCTATAAACAGAAAAAGCTTATTACTGAGAGAGATGATATTCATTCGTCACCAAAAATAACCGAAAACACTGCCAGAATTTAAGATTGATGCATTTTCATTCTTTCAAAAACAGAAAAATATTAAGATTGTTTCAAGACGACATGAATATTCTGATTGTTTTGGAATATTCGATTGCCAACAAGATAAGCAGAAAATAACTAGAGATTCAGAAGACCATACATTTAACTCAAATAGTACGATTCACAATTTTTTACAGTTAACGGCTATACTTACTGTGATATACTTATGTAGTTACGAAGTTTACTTTTTGCATCAGTACACTCTGGTAGGAACAGGTACTCATCTAATAACTGAATATATTACAAACACCCACGTTTATTACTTTTGTCTCAGGTCATTTGAATTACATATTGATCTATTCATATTTCCTCATATATATTGTTCGCCCATAAATTAATATTCACAAATAAATATCCATAGAACATGGGCATATTATTTCGTAGTCAAATAGGGTAAAAACACACGGCTGCTTCTAGTTTTTTATCATCACCTGATGAACCTACTATATACACCGATTCTAATGGTGAAGTGTCTGTTGAATACAAACCAAAAAGAAAAGTCTATATACTTCTCTACTTTACTTATATTTAGTAAGCATTGTCACATAAGCAAGGCTTAGCCTACACGCGGTTCATCACTGAAGTGTTCACCACTATGATATCATGTGTTGGATTTTTCACCCACCAACAAGGAATGGAAAATGGGTTAAGATCGTCGTGAGACAGGTTAGTATTACTACTACTGATTTGTGTATGACTTATCTTTACTCACACTGCAAAACACAAAATGGAATACATGCTCTGTCGCCTCACTGTAACATATTCACACAGTTAGAGTGATCTTATTACATCATGCAATAACCTCTTACTTGAAGATAGACCCCATAAATCCTTACCTTTTCCAGTTCTTTACCATCGACTACAATCTTTGCTGAATTCCTCTCTTCTACAGACTCTAGTGCGTCTTTTATTTTATTGTATTGTTTTTCGATATTATCAATAGTAGAGTCGATTGATTGTTTTGTTCTGTCAAATATCTCTGATATGTTTTTTATAATAGTTTCAATTCCACTGATTTTGCCGATGAAATCTTTCCCCGATAGTTCATTCATGGCTTCCAGTGCGCCAACAAAGTCCCCAAAAGCACCAGCAAGAGAAGTTGCGCCTACAAAAGACAATACACATCAATACTTTAAATATAGTTTCAAATCAAGACAGTCCAAATCATTAGCAACAGGTATAGTCGTATTTGATTTAAATGAATTACTGTTAGAACCACATCAATTCATAATCTTTACAGGAGACAAAATTTAATCCTGTCACACTTTTTCCGACTTTTACATACTGTTTATTCGTTTTATAGATATCCATATTTGTACAGTATTTATCTTTAATGTTGTTACATGGGGTATCCTTTGCGTAAGAAATGTAAATTCCATATTTTATCCTTGTATAATTATGTTGAATTTATTGAACTCTTGTAGTTTTTTGCATGTCACTCAAAGCAGGGAACAATATAGACCGGTGCAGTCGGGCGATTAATTTGTTTTTGTAATTTAAATAAAATAAAAAAAAACGCGAATTGGAGGTGTTAGCGCGAAATCCCCTGCAACTGCGAAATCACCCCGACTGGTTTATTCTGCAGGAAATTCATTGCTATTAAATATTCCGGATGCACATATTATAATGAGGTGGGCGCGGAAATAAGTGCATAGTGAGGTCAACTTGGTAAAGGTCACACTGCAGACCCAACATGGCGGCACGTTGAAATTCGAGTTTGTCGTAGTCGTCGTTTCTAATTCATCACAATGTGTGAAAAAAAAGTAACTCATACTAGTCGTAGAATTCAAAAAAAGTCGGCTGTCACAATCAGCCAACGTCTTCTCGGTCAGAGGTCAGTTGAAGAGACGTTGTGATTGGATTAGATGATTGTCAATTAGAACACCATTACCATAATTACCCGTTGAAAAATCGACAGGTTCCTGCACTGTCGATAGAGGGCCATGCAGAAGAAACCAGTGAGTCGGGGGTGATTTCGCGCTAACACCTCCATTTCGCGATTTTTTTCATTTTATTTAAACTACAAAAACAAATTAATCGCCCGACTGCGCCAGTCTAGAAACAGTACTATACTTGGATAAACATAGATCAAATTCAATCATGAGTAATAATCTATATGTGGAAATACTGCATTGAGCAAATGAGGGGGTGTAATATTTTGATATGACAAAATCACTAACAGCGCAATATGAACAATAAAATCATATTTCCAATCATGACAGCATTTTCGGAGATACTAGATATTCAAAAACTGACTTTGTAATCGCTAACAATTTGTGTGTATTGAAAACATTTTCATCATTGTCCCAACCTATAATCTGCGGGGTTCCGCAAGGGTCGATTCTAGGCCCAAGTTTATTTTTAATCTATTTAATCTAATTTGTTCGGTTGGCAAGCCGACATTTATGATTGTGGCCAGGCTCCGCATCTGACAGTGCGTTGTTTTCATGATGTATTCCAAAACTTAAAATACAAAATAAAAATTATCTCTTTTAGACACT